AAGAGAGACCCAGAAGGTCACTTCATTATACTCAAGGGAATAATCCACCAAGAAGACATTAACATTGTAAACATATATGCACCAAACATAGGGGCACCCAAATATATCAAGAAAATCTTAGAGGACTTCAAGAAAGATATTGAAAGCAACACAATTATAGTAGGGGATTTTAACACCCCACTATCAAAAATGGACAGATCTTCCAAACAAATTATCAACAAAGATATTGTGGCATTAAACAACACCCTAGATGAAATGGACTTAACTGATATATATAGAGCCCTTCATCCCAAAGAAGCTAAATACACATTCTTTTCAAATGCACACAGAGCATTTTCAAAGATAGACCACATGATAGGACACAAAACGAGCCTCAACAAATTCAAGAAAATTGAAATCATCCCAAGCATTTTCTCTGACCACAAGGGACTGAAATTGAAAACCAACCCCAAAGAAAAAAATCCAAAGCACCCAAAATCATGGAGACTGAATGGTATGTTATTAAACAACGAATGGGTCAAGAATGAAATTAGGGAAGAAATCAAAATGTTTCTGGAAACAAATGAAAATGATCTCACAACAACCCAAAACTTATGGGACACATCCAAGGCAGTCCTGAGAGGGAAGTTGTTTGTTTTTTTTTTTTAAATTAATTTTATTTAGTTATTTTTCAAGTACAGTTTTTTTGTCTATTTTTCCCATCCCAGCCTCCCCCGCCCCTTGCTCCCCACCTCCCTCCCATTTTCACCCCCCTTAGTTCTCGTCCCTGTGTCCTTCCTATTTGTTCCTCCAAATCCCTCCCCCTTTCTCCCCTTAACTTCCCTTCCCTCCCCCTCTGGTCACTGTGCCCTTGTACTCTATTTCAGTGTCTTTGTTTTTCTTTTCCTGCTTGCTTGTTTGTTTTGTTGTTTAGCTTCCTGTTAAAGGTGAGATCATATGGTATTTGTCTTTCAGCACCTGGCCTATTTCACTCAGCATAATGCTTTCCAGTTCCATCCATGTTGTTGCAAAAGGTAGTAGCTCCTTCTTTCCTGAGAGGGAACTTTATAGCAATACAGGCCTACCTAAAGAAGATAGAAACATTTCAAACAAACAACCTAACCCTACACCTGCAAGAACTCCAGGAACAACAACAAAGACAGCCCAGAGCAAGCAGAAGGAAGGAAATAACCAAGATTAGAGCAGAATTAAATGACATAGAAACTAAAAGCACAATTTTAAGGATCGATGAACTAGGAGTTGGTTCTTTGAGAAGATAAACAAAATAGACAAGCCTTTAAATAGGCTCATCAAGAAAAGAAGAGAGAGGACACAAATAAACACCATCAGAAATGAAAGAGGAGAGATTACAACTGATACCACAGAAATAGAAGGGGATTGTAAGAAATTACTATGAAGAACTGTATGCCAAAAAATTTGAAAACCTAGGGGAAATGGACACATTTCTAGAAAAATACAATCTTCCAAAACTCAGTGAAAAAGAAGCAGAAAATCTAAATACACCAAAAACAGCAAAAGAAATTGAAGCAGTAATCAAAAAACTCCCATCACACAAAAGCCCTGGACCAGATGGGTTCACAGGAGAATTCTACAAAGCATTTAAGGAAGAGCTAACCCCTATTCTCCACAGACTATTCCAAAAAATCCAGAAGGATGGAAAACTCCCAAATTCTTTTTATGAAGCCAGCATCATCTTAATTCCAAAACCAGATAGAGACACAACAAAGAAAACTTCAGGCCAATATCACTGATGAACATAGATGCTAAAATCCTGAACAAAATATTGGCAAATCGCATCCAACAATATATCAAAAAGATCATACACCATGACCAAGTGGGATTCATCCCAGGGATGCAAGGATGGTTCAATATTCATAAATGTAATACATCACATAAACAAAAGCAAAGACAAAAATCACATGATCATATCAATAGATGCGGAAAAAGCTTTCGATAAGGTACAACACCCATTTATGATAAAAACACTCAGCAAAGTGGGAATACAGGGAGCATTTCTCAAAATAATAAAAGCCATATATGAGAGACCTACGGACAATATCATACTCAATGGGCAAAAACTAAAAGCTTTTCCACTAAGATCAGGAACAAGACAAGGATGTCCACTTTCACCACTTCTATTCAATATAGTATTGGAAGTTTTAGCCACAGTGATCAGGCAAGAAAAGGAAATAAAAGGCATCCAAATAGGAAAGGAGGAAGCAAAACTGTCACTGTTTGCAGATGACATGATAGTGTACATGGAAAATCCTATAGACTCTACCCCAAAACTGCTCGAACTAATTAATGAATTTGGCAAAACAGCTGGTTACAAAGTCAATATCCAGAAATCAAAGGCATTTTTGTATACCAACAGTGAATCAGCAGGAATCAAGGAAAAAAATCCCATTTGATATAGCAAAAAGAAAAATACAATATCTGGGAATAAACCTAACTAAGGAGGTAAAAGACCTGTATGCAGAAAACTACACAGCCCTGAAGAAAGAAATCAGGGAAGATACAAACAAATGGAAACATATACCTTGTTCATGGATTGGAAGAATTAACATCATCAAAATGTCCATACTACCCAAAGCAATTTACAGATTCAATGCAATACCTATTAAAGTACCAATGGCATATTTCACAGACATAGAACAAACACTTTGAAAATTTATATGGAACCACAAATGAGCCCAAATAGCAGCTGCTCTTTTGAGAAAGAAGAACAAAGTAGGAGGGATCACAATGCCTGATATCAAACTGTATTACAAGGCAACTGTAATCAAAACAGCCTGGTACTGGCATAAAAACAGGCACATAGACCAATGGAACAGAACAGAGAGCCCAGAAATCAACCCAACTCTCTACAGTCAATTAATATTCGACAAAGGGGGCAGTAACATAAAATGGAGTAAAGATAGCCTCTTCAACAAATGGTGTTGGGAGAACTGGACAGCTATGTGCAAAAAAATGAAACTTGAGCACAGACTTACACCATACACCAAAATAAATTCAAGGTGGATAAAAGACTTAAATGTAAGTCGTGACACCATTAAAGTCCTAGAGGAGAACATCGGCAAGATAATCTCAGATATTTCACGCAGCAACTTTTTTACTGATGTGTCCTAGAGCAAGGAATGTAAAGGAAAGAATAAACATATGGGATCTCATCAAAATAAAAAGCTTCTGCGTGGCTAAAGAAAACAATATTAAATTAGCAAGACAATCAACTGTATGGGAAAACATATTTGCCAATGATACCACAGAGAAAGGTTTAATCTCCAAAATATACAAAGAACTTACATGACTCCACTCTAAGAAGACAACCAAGCCAATTAAAAAATGGGAAAAGGACTTGAACAGACACTTCTCCAAGGAGGACATACAGAACATTCAGAGACACATGAAGAGATGCTCAATATTGTTAGCTATCAGAGAGATGCAAATTAAAACCACAATGAGATACCACTTTACACCAGTCAGGATGGCTATCATAAACAAAGCAACAAACAACAAATGTTGGAGAGGTTGTGGGGAAAAGGGGTCCTTAGTTCACTGTTGGTGGGATTGCAGACTGGTACAACCATTATGGAAAACAGTATGGAATTTTCTCAGAAAAATAAAAATCAACCTGCCTTTTGACCCAGCAATTCCACTGCTGGGATTATATCCTAAGAATCCTAAAACATCAATATCAAAGAACCTATGCACCACAATGTTCATAGCAGCACAATTTACAATAGCCAAGAGTTGGAAGCAACCTAGGTGCCCATCAATAAATGAATGGATCAAAAAATTGTGGTACATATACACAATGGAATTCTATGCTGCAGAGAGAAAGAAGGAGCTACTACCTTTTGCAACAACATGGATGGAACTGGAAAGCATTATGCTGAGTGAAATAGGCCAGGTGCTGAAAGACAAATACCATATGATCTCACCTTTAACAGGAAGCTAAACAACAAAACAAACAACCAAGCAGAAAAAAAAAAAAGACACTGAAATAGAGAACAAGGGGACAGTGACCAGAGGGGAGAAAGAAGGGAAGTTAAGGGGGAAAAGGGGGAGGGATTTGGAGGAACAAATAGGAAGGACACAGGGACGAGAACTAAGGGGGGTGGAAATGGGAGGGAGGTGGGGAGCAAGGGGCGGGGGAGGCTCGGATGGGAAAAATAGACAAAAAACTGTACTTGAAAAATAACTAAATAAAATTAATTTAAAAAAATAATAAAATGACCGCAAACTCACAGCAATTAACAACCAAACCTACAACAAACAAAAACAAAAACAAATAAGCAAACAACTGGAACGGAAGCACAGAAATGGAGATCACATGGAGGGTTATCAGTGGGGGAGGGGGAGGGAGGGGGGAAAAGGCACAGAGAATAAGTAGCGTAAATGATAGGTACAAAATAAAAAGGAAGAGGTTAGAAATAGTATAAAAAAGAAGTCAAAGAACTTACATGTACAACCCATGGACATTAACTAAATAAAGGGGGGAATGTAGGTGGTTGGGTGTGTGCAGGGTGGAGGGACATAAAGGGGATAAAATGGGACAACTGTAGTAGCATAATCAAGAAAATATATTTTAAGCCCTGGCTGGTGTAGCTCAGTGGATTGAGCGCAGGCCTGCGAACCAGACAATCGCGGTTCTATTCCCAGTCCTATTCCCAGTCAGGGCACATGCGGGGTTGCAGGCTGGTTCTCGGCAGGCCAGTTCCCCGCAGTGGACCCATGGAAGGCAACCATACATTGATGTTTCTCTCCCTCTCTCCTTCCCTTCCCCTCTAAAGATAAATAAATAAATGAAAATAAAATTTAAAAAAAAGAAAATATAGTTTTAAAAATTTAAGAAATAAATGTTAATTATCTTAAACAATAATCAAGAGTTCTATAAAGATGAATAAAGTCCCACCAACCTATCAGATGTACACAGAACACCAAATGCATCATAACTGTCAGTACCCAATGATTATTTCTTCTCATTAAATCACACTCACCTGGCTGTTTGGATCTCCGAGTAAATTACATATATGTGGCACAATCTTGCTTAGTGTCAAAGTATGTGCTCCAGAGCTGAAAACAAAATGAGTGTTTTATTGTTGGTGAGAACATAGAAAAGAAAGAAGCTACTGTGCCCACACTCACCTCTTCCTCTCCATCCCCAAGACCCTATTTGCTACCTTACACCCAGGAGCTCCCCTTCTTATCTTCCCAGTCTCTTTCCCATCTGATTCCAAATTAAATGTGCTGCAGTGTCCCTTTGGCAGAGTTCAAAACCATTAGTGCTTCTCACTGACACATCCTCTCCCTGGCACTCAGGCTCTCCAATTTGGCCCTAAACCTTTAAAGTCAAGCCTCGGCCTTTCCCAGTCTTTCTTACCTCCCATACAGTTGTCTCTGGATTACTATTTTGTCAAGTAATGGTTCCTATTTTGCGGTGCTTGGCATACTCAACTAAACTGAGAGACTCTCAATTCTCCCTCTGTGCACAGTTTGATGCTACTACTGACATTCAGGTAGTAACCGCTGAATGAAAAGACTGTGATAAAATGGCTGCAGAGGATTCCAACTACACACTGCCCTGCTGGAGAACATTTGTTTACAACAGTGCACCATCATAAACACTGTCACAATATCCTTTGTGAATACAACTGTCTCTGGTAATCTGGTTGCTTCCTAAGGATACATTCTTAGAAATGAAACTACTGTAATCAAAGGCTAGAAACATTTTTTAAAAGCTTTCAATACATATGGCCAAATTTAATGGCACTGAAAAGGCTAACCTGAGGAGGGGAAAAAATTTACATAATAATGAAATGTTATAATCCCAACTTTGTTATTAAAAATAATCTAACTTTATAGGCTGTAATAAAAAGAACCATAGTTAACAGTGATTATCTGAAGGTAGTAAAATTTTAGGTAATCATTATTTTTATGTAAATTTTCTACAACATATACAATACTACTTTTACAATCAGAAAAACTGATTTGTGATTTTTAATTTTAAAATAAACAAATAAACACTTGAAAAACGTTCAGCATCAACAGTCATTAGAGAAATACAAATTCAAATCACAATGAAATATCACTGCATGAATATCAAAATGGCTCCGATTAAAATCAGTGATAACATTCAATGCTAGCAAGGATATGAAAAAACTGATTCATTCACACATTGCTGATGGGAGTGTAAGATGGTATACACAACTCAGGAAAAGAGTTTGGCCGTTTAACAGTAGAAATGAACTTACTGAATAAAACAGTAATTACACTGACCCACTGAGGGTGAAACAGAAACTTGTACATATGTTCATAGCAGTTTTATTTATTTTTTATAATTTTCAAAAGATTTATTTATTTATCTTTAGAGGGGAAGGGAAAGAGAGAGGGAGAAAAACATCAGTGTATGGCTGCCTCTCATGCATCCCCCACTGAGAACTGGCCTCCAACCCAGGCATGTGCCCTGACCAGGAATTGAACCTCGATTCTCTGGTTTGCAGGCCCATTCTCAATCCACTGAGCTACACCAGCCAGGGCGCAGTTTTATTTTTAACAGCCAAAAATTGTGAATGATTCCAAGGTCCTTCAACAAATAAATAGTTAAACAAATTGTGATACTTCTATACCACGGAATTCTACTCAGCAGTAAGAAGAAATGAACTACTGTTTTAGCAACAACATATATGCAACCTCAAGGGGAGTATGTGGAGTGGAAAAAGCCAGTCTCAAAGGGTTACACTGTATATGATTCCATTTATGAGGGAGGACCCAAGAAGAAACTGTAATTACCTTCTGGAGGGTGGGCTCTTTATAGTACAGGCTTCCCGTCCCCCCCACCCCCAGAGCTAACCCTTCTAGGAACCCATTTGTATCAGTTTACCTCCAGCTGGTGCTATTCTGAGAGGCTGTGTTCAGCTTCAGTGAATACTTTTTGAAGACTCTTTCAACATGCTTGCCCATCTCATGATGGGTGATTTTTCAGCATACCTGCCCACACTACGCTGTGTTTGACTGTTTGTTTTTTTTTTTAAACCAAAAACAGCATGACTCCAAGCCCACCCTCCCTCTTCATCTGATCCCTCCCAAAGCAACTTTCTATTTATTTCCAGGGATGAAAAAAGTCCTCAAAGAACCTTCTTGCCCACGTGAAAGATGTCTAACAAACAAAAAACAAACAAAAAAAACAGCAGAAGCACTAAAAGCCATCAAAATTGATGAGTTCAAAAACTGTTTTGAGGGGTAGAAAAAATGTCTCGATAGATGTATCGCGAATACTTCTAATGGAGAATACTTAGAAGGTGACTGAAATTTAAACATCTAAGAATACACACACAATTTTTAATAAATTCCAGGGATATTTTTGGAGGCAGTCCCCCCTGCCCCAGAAATAACATTCTTGAAATAAAGTCATAGAGATGGAAACCAGATTAGTAGTTGCCAGTGGTTAGGGACTGAATACAAAGGGACAGTGTGAGGGAGCCTGGGGTGATGCACAGATTTGTACCTTGACCTGGAGCTCCACATGTGACAGAACTGTGCAGAAATGCACACACGTGTGTGACTGGAAGAATCGGAGTAAGCTGTGCGGATTGTGTCAGTAACAACTTCCTGCTGATGTCATTGCATAGACAAGATTATAACACTGGGGAACAGTGAGGGAGAGGGGTTGCAAAGCACCTCCCAATACATTTGTCTGCAACTTCCTGAAATCTACAGTTATCTCTAAGTAAGTTAAAAATTAAAAAAAAAAAGCTCATTCAAGGAAACCCTCAGGCCCCACCCAGACTTACGCGTTAAGTGTGGCAACAAGGCAAACACACGTGCCTTCCCGAGTCCTGAAATTCTTGTGCTTGAAGCCTCCCAGCATTCGGTCCCACACATACTACAGAGAGCAAAGAATAAGTAAAAAGAAAAGAAGAAGAGACTTATGTATTATTTTGTTTCATATGGGGCCAAATCAGTCCTGGCTGCTACCATCCCATTAAGTTATCTGAAGAACATATTGAAAAATGGTGACATTTTTAATGAAGTTTTTTCAAAACACATCCCTTTATATAACTGCATTTAATTCTCCAACAACCCTAAAAGGAATTATAGCTGTCCCTATTTTATAGGTGAAAAAAGAGGACAGAAAAGCTTGGTGACTTCAAAGATCACATACTCATATTTCTCTCAGCCTGGAACAGCGTCTGTATCCTGCCCACAAGTCTAACATCTGCTCATCCTTCTAGGTCAGTCTAGTTTTTACCATCCCTGGGAAAAATTTTTCTGATACCCCCCCCCCCACCAAACAATGGGCAGTTGGACCCTGGAAGGCAGGGCTTGTGTCCCTCAGTTCCCCTGCTCCAGCAGCCCCGGCTCACTAGCAGAGACAGAGAAAGGCTCCAAGCCAGGACGCCTAATATCCCGGGCACCACAACTGCTGTTGTGGAGAAACAACAGAATCGCAGAAACACAGAATCAATTGCATAACTGAGTTTGAGTCTATGGATTAAACCAAGCACTCAAAACCCATGTTAAATTCACTAATTTATTCAAAATATACCCTTTGCTATTTATTATTTATTTAAATACCAGGAGGGGGAGATCAAATAAAAGCTATGTAAATTTTCATCTGAAATACATCCGATTAGAAGAAATAAAGCCTTTCTATACAGAGTAACCCACTAATGGTAGGGGAATACATACACGCCAGCTGGCCACAGAACACCTCCCTTGCCCTACCTGGGGACTAGCAGCTTGATCCATGATCTTTAGCAGCAGAGTCTGGTCTTGCTCCCTCACGGAGTCTTTAGCATCTCCCAGTCTGTCTATTAAACTTGGCAGCACTGGAAATCAAAATCAAAACTGATCAAATGAATACCTGTTGGGATGGAGGGGTGTAGTTACCAACTATTGGTATTTCAATTAACTGGGAAGACAAAGTCCTGGCCTAAATGAGGTCCATCATCTAACACCACCAATCCCTACAGTACTACTCTCTTTGTTAAAACCTGTGGAAACTACTTTAAGAATCAGCAAAATCCTTCTTTGCATGGGCATAGTGTTTTGTCATCTCCTTTACCACACGTTCCTCCAGCCAGCTCCCAATATATTTTTATGCTGGTGAAATATCACACTGGATATCAACAGAGTATCTTCGTTAAGAAATAGTCAACACAAAAGGAAATTTAGGTACCCATGAAAGAAGGGCTCAAGCCTATTTGCTTGGGAGTATAGAAGGAACACACACTTATGGCTCGATCTACCTTTTGTCTACACTGTGTTTTAATTTTACATAACACACACATGCTTATCAGACCGAGTCCACCTATTCCACTCCTCCTACACACATGTGAGGTATGGGGTAGTGTAAGTGCCCACCTTCTTTTAAGAGTCTATGAACCTTTCTTTTACCAGAGGTATTTCTGAACAATTCAGCTAATTTAGGAGAAAAATGGAGCACTACTAAAATACTGGATTTCTAAAAATAAGGAAGATTTTTGTTTATACTTGGACAGTTAATGCCAGAATGGGAAAAAGAGTTCCTGACCTTACCCAAAGGAGCACACTAACCAGAAAGTTAACAGAAAATAACAAATACACATATACCAACTGAAATGCAGGTGTCATCTATAAGGAAATGCTTGCACACACAGGTCTGCTGAGTGCTCATGTTGTCATTACAAAATCACAGAGATCAGGAATTTATAGATGAGTAAGTTATCTCTAAACCCATGAAACCTTTGGTTATTTTTATTTCATTTCACTGACATATCATTTTCTCTTCAAAATAATAAAGTGATCATTTACTACATAGTTGTAATGACATTTACGATCAAAGTGAAAACAGGGCTGGCTGGGTTAGAGGGTTGTCCCAATAGCCAAGGTGGTGGGTTCCATCCTGCTCAGAGTACATACAAGAAATCAACCAATGAATAAATGAGTAAGTGGAACAACAAATCAATGTTTGTTCTTTCCTCTCTCTAATAATCAATAATTTTTTAAGAAAGTGAAAACAGTAATACCAACAATAATCATCTGGAAAAAAATAAAACTGCAGGGGATTTGCAGGAATTCGCAATGAGGGAATATCTCTCAAAAGGGAAGGTTCAGGGACAAACACAACCTGGGCAGCACTAAAATGTGACAGCTAATTTGTACAAGAAATAAAAGTATTAGTAACACTTTGTATTAGAACACAAAGGTTGGAAGAAGAAGCCAAGAGAAAAGTACTGGGCAGAGATGCCAGTAGATGCAGTGAGGCCAGAGTATCTGGGGTGAGCAGAGGAGGGGAGGGAAAGTAGTGGTGCAGCCCCAGCAGGTGGTGACTAAAGGAAGGAGTTGGGGCGTTGGCTGGGAGGCTGAGAGGACTAAGGGAATGGTTAAGGAGTAGGAAGGTGCAGCAAGAGTGATGGCTGGGAGGACTGGACACAGCTAACTGGAGGATTTGGGGAGACTGAGGGAAAACTGGAGTCAGGAGGGTGAAGAATATGGGGACCCACTCCACACTTGCCCACAGCTTACCTGTGCCAATCTGCGCCTTGAACCGATCCTGCAGCCGGGTAACCAGCGCAGACAGGATGTCCATCCCCAGAAGAACCACCTGCAACGAATGGGAAACAGTGGGACCCTGTTAGCCGCCAGCACCAAACCCAGGGCCTCCGCCCAGCAGCTCCCGAACCGCCCCCATAATTTCTCGCTCAGGCGCTGTCTCAGAGCCCAGAGTGTGCACGCCGACTGGCAAGATTACATTGCTTATCAAGAGGAAAGCTGCTCCTGCACAGAAGGAGCAGTTTACAATTTTAATGGAAATGGTCAGTGTCTAAAAACGAAATAAAAATCCGCCACAGCCTGGCATATCACCGGAGCTAAACGGAATAGGGAGAATGAGACGCAGCCCCGCCCCCTGCTGGCCCTGCCTCAGAGAGGAGTGCATATGCAAATTGCCTTCTGGCTGGAGTGTGGCCTTCTGGGTAAAACAGAAAGGCTGCTTTGCTACCCTCAGAAGCCTCAAAAAAGGAGTGGTGTTTAGCTTCCGGGACCTGTGTGATCAGCTTAAGCACACTAGCTAACCAGCGACTAGGCAGGGACTTGAAAATGAATCACCACAACCCTACCAGGTATTGACCCATCCTGCTTGCAGCGCACGCAAATACCTTACTAACCATCCTTTTCTTGGGGTTGCGTTACTGTCCAATGAACGTCTAGTGAGGATAGTACTGCTAACGCCTTAACAACACACTCGCATCAGTTAAAGCCTCGCTTTACTTTGGTGCAATTTTTGGAAAAAGGAAAACTTTTTCTCACGATAACAGAGTCAAAATACAATAGAGAAGTAAAAGAATATAAACTGCTTCAATATTAAGCCTAGCCAGTAGGGGGCGCGCCTGACCTTATATTAATACTTACATAATTAGTACTACTCATCCTTGAAATACCCCATTAGCTACCAAAAAAATGAAAATACAAATACCCTTCTCAGAAAGTCATTCCTTAGAATGAAATAATTTTTCACTGTGTAACTTTATTATCAGCTGATACATAATCCAGGTTTCATATAAAATACTAATGATCAAGACTCAGGCAAAGGTAATTATCCAAACATTAGTTACATCAGGCAATGGATAGTAATTATGATTCCTGGCATCTCCCTACCTGTGTTTTGCAACTAGTATTAAAAACAAACACTACAGGCTTTTACATTCAACTCTGAATTCACTGCTTCAAAATTAAAGAAATCAAAATTTATCCAATAACCACCTTAATACATAAACTGCCCTAGCAAGAAACTGGTGACTTGATGATACTGAAGGAAACAATTTTAAATGTTTTTATAAAGAGAACATTGGTTTTTAAACAGTTTTAATATATATATGATATAAAACACTTTAAAATAATGACTTCATGCATGAGCTACAGAGGATTAAGTATCACATTTTGATAGTCCTACAATTTTAAGTTAAAATGCCAAACATTACCTCAGCCAGGTGATAAAGGTTAACATCAACAGTCATAAATTATGTTGACAGTATTTATGCTGGACATGTGAATAAAATGCCATTTTGCATCAGGGACTGTCCTCAAGACCCATAACCCTGGTCTAATCTTAAGAAAAGCATGAAACTGAAATAGAGGAAGATCCTACAAAACACCAGATCAGCATTACTTAAAGTAGTACTCCATTGAAGTACTCCACCTGCTCCATCCAAGTTATCAAAAGCAAGGGAAGTCATAAACTGTAACAGCCAAGAGGAGTCCCGGGAGGCATGCAACCTATCGTGGCCCTGTAACAGATAAAGGACCTTAGATAAAACTAAGGAAACCTAAATAAACTGGACTTAGTTAATAATAATGTTTCAATATTGTTTTATTTTTTTGTAACAAACCATGCTAATATTAAATGTCAATAATTGGGGAGACTGATGTGGGGTACATGGAGACTCCGTACTACCTTCACAATTTTTCTGTAAATCCAAAACTGTTGCAAAATTTAAAGTTTATTATTTTTAAAAGCGAACGATCCATTAATTGTATTGGCTTTTCCCTGATGAAATCCTACACATCGGATGATTGCATTACTACTTAGGGATGAAGGCTTGTTGTTCTTTACAAAAACATTAATAATGCTGCCTTTTAAAAAAATCTTTCTTGTTGCTCTTTTATGGCATTTACAACATGCTCCTGCTTTTTAAACTCTTCATAAGGCATAAACATGCTTTCATGACTTGTAATACTTCTTTCCAGTCCAGCCCCTTCCTGCCTGCAAGATTTCTTTTGAGAAATCAGCTGACAGTCTGATGGAAATTCCTTTGAAGGTAAAAGTTTTCTTTTCTCTTGCTGCTTCTAAGATTCTCTCCCTATTTGTGGCTAATATGATTATGATGTGCCTTGGTATGTTCCTCCTTGGGTCCAACTTCTTCGGGACTCGCTGAGCTTTCTGGACATCGTGGAAGTCTATTTCCTTCGCCAGACTGGGGAAGGTTTCCTTCCTTATTTGTCCAAATAAGTTTTCAATTTCTTACTCTTCCTCTCCGTCTTCCGACACTCCTATAATTCAGATGTTGGAACGTTTAAACATGTACTGAAGGTTCCTAAGCCTCTCATTTTTTTTTAATTCTTCTTTCTTCATTCTGTTCTGGTTGGATGTTTATTTCTTCTGGTACACACCATTGACTTGAGTTCTGGTTTCCTTCCCATAACTATTGGTTCCCTGTACATTTTCCTTTATTTCATTTAGCATTGCCTTCATTTTTCCAACTAATTTGTCACCAAATTCAACCAACCTTGTGAGCATCCTGATTACCAGTGTTTTGAACTCTATCTGATAGGCTGGCTATCTCTTCATCCCTTAGTTGTATTTTTTCTGGAGGTTTGATCTGTTCTTTCATTTGGGCCATTTTTTTCCCCTCAGCAATGGAGGGGGGATTGCATTGTAGTGCTGTATGTGGGGAAGGGGTCAGAGAGGGAACAATGGCACTTGCTCTGCTCTCTGCCAGATTTCAGTCACGTCCCCCACTACCCACAAACAAAGTGAGCCCTTCTTGTGCTGATTCCCAGGTAGGTTGGCTTATGTACATTCTAGAACACTGTGGGTCTCTCCAATGAACTCTCCTGTGAGTTTGGGAGTTCCTCCTGCTACTGCCTCAACCCCTACAGGTGTTTTCAATCAGTGATTTGAAACTTTATTTCCCTGCGCTGGAACCCCGGGTTGCTAGTTCTTGCAAGTTCTTTCTCAACCCCCAGGTGTTCCTCCTGGTTTATCTGCACATGAATGTAGGACTGCCTGCTCCACTAGCCACCACCTCACTGGGTCAGCCAGCTGCTGCCTTGCCACAGTCCTCTCTGCCCAGCTGCCTTTCTCTGCCCCTCCTACCAGGCTGGATGAATGTGTCTTCTTTAACTCCTTGGTTGTTGGACTTCCATACAGTTTGATTTTGTCAGTTTTGGTTGCTTTTTGTTTTTAAGTTGTTGTTGTTCTTTTGGTTGTGTGCACGGTGTGTCCACCTACCCCTCCATCTTGGTCAGGAGTACAATAATGCTGCCTTCTTAGTTCACTGTACTTCTTCAGAATTTGTTTAATACTAAGATGTAAAAGAACTACTGTATTTTCAGATATGACAGTCCATGTCAGTTAACATACCCATGGAGTTTGGGGAAAACAGACTTTAAGCTCTTCCAGGATGAATGGAGGTTCACTTGGTAGGTCTGACCAGAATAGGTCTAGCTAAATCATAAACAGTAAAAATCAAAAAGTCTTCCCCAGATAGTCTTGGAGAGTCCAGAGACTCTCTAAGAAGACTGAGTTGGCAGAAATACTACACAGCCCCAAGCACCCTCACAACACCCAACTGGACTTTGGAAAGAAGCAGAGGGATCTGTACATAGTTATCTAGTTCACCCTCTGTCACAGTCACAGTAGGCAAGACAGCAAATAGTCATCTATGTTTACCTTTAGAGTTCAGGCCCTTCTATGTATCCAATTCCCTATCAAAGAAGGGGATAAATGAATAAAGTCAATGCTCAGAAGACCACTCTAATTATTAGCTGTGAAGCCTCTCTGTGCCTCAGTTTTCTCACCTGTAAATCGGGGAAAACTTTTTAACGGGTGCCTCACTACCTCACAGGTCGTTGTGTGCATGTGAAGTGCCTAAGATAGCACTGGATACATGGTATGGGCTAAACTACCCACATGCTGGCTATTATCACTGCCATTATGATGGGTAATAGGTACTAATTAGTGGTCCCATGTAGGCTTGTGATTCCTGAGGACAAGGGGCTGGGCTGGCAGAGAAGGTTTCCCAGAAAGGATTACGCTGCATGATGTGGAGTTTTAAAAACTAGCCTCACACCAAAGGAAATGAAGACCTTCGAGAAAAGAGAAGAACCTGTACAAAAGTAAGAAGGGGGAGAAAACTGCCAGGGAGGACAAAGGTGGAACAGAGTGAAGTGGGAAAGTCACATGAGAGGCAGCTTCTGAAGGCCCTCAGATATGTCTTGAAGAAAATGGGGAAACTACTCAAGAGTAGTCAGGGGAAAGGGGGAGTGACAGAGGAGCTGGAGCTTTTAGACAGGGCTCTGTGACCACCAGGAGAAAGGTGGCCTGAGACAGAGAGGACTGAGGCAGGGAGGGGGTCAGACTCACACCTGACACTTACTGCCTTTAGTTTTCATTAAGCTATTAAGTGTGCAATACCTTTGAGCACCTGCTCAATTATTCCACTTAATTTTCCTTTTTAAATTTTAGAGCAAAAGGAGAAGAGTAACATCTATTTGTTGTTCCACTTATTTTTGCATTCACTGGTTGATTCTTGATATGTGGCCTGACTAGGGATCAAACCCTTGACCTTGGCTATCAAAGGCAAAACACTAACCAAGTGTGAGTTACCCCACCAGGGCCTCACTCGATTTTCTGAGTTTATGCTTGTTTCCCCAGATAAACATTCCTTGAATAGAAGGAATACTATGACTCACAGTCCATCAAAATTTTCATAATATATAGCACACTACTGGGTACATGGTAAGTGATGAATATACTCCTATTTTTTATTGACTAGTAATGAATCTGGAACAGGTGAGTTCTCAAGGTCCAATGCAGTTCCTTTATCCTACAACTTTAAAAACGACACTTTTAAAAGTAGGTGATAATGGCTAAGTAACACAAACCAATCCTAACACCAAAAACAACTAAAAATCCTAGATATAACATACAAGGCATCTGCTTGGAAACATCAGAGAACTAAGAAGTTACAGAAGAATTATCAGGCTATAAAACACAAGAAAACTAAAATCCATAGAGATAAGCCTACAGGAAATAGTCCACTTTTGCCCTAGGGCCATTTATACACTGAGAAAGGGACAACCAGACATGGTGAATTATTTTGATCCTCACTTGGGTCTAGGAAAACAAAGGATGGATTCCAAAGCCCTCAAAGACTGTTGGCCCAGATAATCCCCTCAACTGAGGCTAGAACTCCAAATGAAATCTTACAAGAATGAGAAGGAAATAAAACAGCCTTCAGATGGACCACTGATCAGTTTCCAAAAAACTAGGTGGCTGAGAAAAATGGTATCAGATGGAACTGATCTTTGATTGCTGGTGCCTTAAAGCCTCTGGCAGATAAAAACACAAATGATTTCTGGATGGAGAGAAGATCACCCTACTCTAGTACTCAATTTACTGTTATAAACAATTTTCAAATACAATGTCTCAAACACAACCAAAGATAACCAGGCACAACTATAAATAAACCAGGACAACTATAAGTAAAAACTAGCAGAAACAAAGACCC